GGGGAGGCTGGCTTTCAGACCATCTCCATTGCTCACGGGGACAGCACCAATTGTGATGTCTGAAAAAATCTACACTTGTTTGGTTTATGGTTTCTTCCCCTTTAAGTTAACCTTCTGACTTTTTTTGAGGTATTACACCTGGGGCAAGTGCCCCGCTCCTCAGCTATCAGAACCCTTGATCTGTGCAGACAGAGCCTGCTGCAGAATCAGCTGTGCACACTGGGAGGGGAGGGCAGCAAGGAACAGTTCTTGCAGAGTTCTTCCAAGTAATGACTATGGCTCGAGGGGTGACAAACGCCAACCGCTATCAAGAGGTAATGGTTATACCAAAAGATGCTTCTTCTGGGAAGCTGAGACATTTAGAATATGAATGTTCTAAGACCACTGTCTCTACGGAAGTCACAAACCTCATGAGGCAAATTCAGTTCTCAGTCCATGTGACTCATCCAGGAGCTCAACAGACCCGCATGGTCAGTGGCGCATGGTGAACAGCAGAGACCATTCCACCACCATGGACGACCTGGACTGCACAGCTCTAAAAGGCAACGTGGTGCCACCCAGCAGGTGCTGTGGGCTGCTTCTGACAGACCCCTTCTCATGCATTCACATGTCCAGCAGTCACCAGAAAGGCCACACATGCCACCTGCAGGCCTCGGGGCCAGCCAGCCCGCAGAGCACACTGTGCACCTACAGACACACGCGCATAGACACATGCGCACAGGCTGCCTCCAAGGGCCTCAAGGAACAAAGTGCCTTTGTAATCGGAAAACTGTTTGTGAAAATGAAGCATTTTAAAATGAGACATCCCCTTTACCCCTAAAACTGGCAATAAAAAGTAGAAAAATATTTTCACGTGCTGTGGTGTACATGAGCAAAATCTTTAGAAGGACTAATTGGTAATTTTTGTCAAAAATTTAAACATGCGTATCCTTTAAATTTGTTTTTGTTTTTGTGGTGCTGGGGATTGAACCCAGGGCCTTGGGCATGTGAGTCAAGCACTCTACCAACTGTGCTATATCCCCAGCCCTATATCCTTTAAATTTAAGACTCCTAGTTCAATGAACTTATCTTCCCAAAAGTTATCAAACATGTAGATGTATGTAAATTTTCTTTTTATAAAATGCAATGGAGTACACTGTGTGTAAGAGGTATTTTCTTTCTGTAAATAAAATCTTCAGAGCAGTTTAAACTAAAGGATGTAGTTTTCTCAGTTCTTCCTGGAAAATTCATGGCCAGGTCAGGAAAATTAAATTCAAAATAATACAAAACATAAACCTCGATTTTATACAGCAATAAGAAACGTAGAAGAGTTTCCTTTTCAGAAGTCGGAAATGGGGCATGATTTTTGACATAGCAACATAAATGTCACCTATGATAGAAGACTTCTCCTTCAGAAGGGTGAAAATGACATAATGCATTAGTGAAAAACTGGTGAAATAAATTAGCATGTGCCTTGTAAATTATAAGATGTGTGGGAGGCTATAGAGAATAAGCCAGAGCCAGTGCTGCATGTACAGCCACATGAAAGGGGGACGTGCCACACAGGGCCACCCCAGGGACATGCACCTCCCACCCAGTGGGTCTCTGGGAATTCCAGTTTTCTATTTGCCTAAGCATGTTTTAACAGCAAATATTTTGAAAATAATTTTTTTCTTATTAATAAGTTCTCAGTAACAAGAATATAAAACTGGACATTACACAAACTTTTCTCAAAGCCAAACCAGAAAAGATAGTCATGGGCTACTTTTCAATAACAATTGGCTATGTCTGCAAATTAAAGTGTAATTTTTAGAAAGGCAGACATTTCAAAGAAATACTCTCAAGAGTTGTGAAATTCTTGAGATTTATTATGAAAACTGATAAAAATATTTCTGAAATTTTTAGAGAGGAATAATAGGTATTTTCTCAATTAAAACAGTAAGATGTATAAGATAAAGCTGCCTGGGCTAAGTCTGGCCACGCAGCTGGCAGTTGGCGGACAGAACCTATTCTCAGTGATGATTCCAACACTGCATTGAGATTCCATGAGAACAGTGGTCTTCTAATCACCACAGAAATATTAGCAAAGTGCTTATTTTAACCTTAATTTTTTTGGTGGTAATGGTAATGAATGGCTTCATTTACTATTTTTACCTGTGTTGAAATTTGGTTCTAGCATCTTATTTTCAAAATTTTTTATTAGTCTGTCTAATTAATCTATATTCTTTCCAAACACTACTTAAGGGGGGGGGGGGGGGAAACAAGTAGAAAGTCATTCTAATTTGGATTTACAGACCTTAAGTTTTAGTCTGTATTCCAAGTTCTTTTGGCCCAAGAGTATTTAAATTATGGTTACTCACTCTTGTGTTAGATTAGTAAAGATGGCTTAATTGAAGTCTTGGCATTTTGTTTTAAAAATCAAATCAAGCCAAAACTTCACATTAAAGACTTTTAAGTTGCATTAAAATTTCATTATTTCTCCCAGGAAATAAATTCTTAGCACTTATGATTTTCCTAAACGTAACTATTAAAACAATAGAGTGAATCTAACACAAGAAACAACATAGAAATAACCACTTCTTTGGAAGTTATAAAGCACAATGTCAAAGGAGCCTTTGAATCTTACAGGGAGTAGCTCACAGACTAAAATGAAAGCAAAATTCAGATTCTGTATTGAATTATAGCATCATTTCAGTAACCATAATTACATCCTTATATCATGAAGACAGCTTGACTGACAAAGGCAAAGGAAAGCCAAGGAGGATACGGTGATCACATTTCTGTGTGAACCACTAACACTGGGGTGGGGGTGGGAGTGGGGGTATTGTCATCTAATCAGAAAAGAGCAAAAAAAAAAAAAATATATATATATATATATATATATATATATATATAGAAAATGGAATCAGGCAGGTATGGTAGTGCACACCTGTGATCCAGCAACTTAGGAGGCTGAGGCAGGAGGATCCAAGTTGAAGGCTAGCCTAAGCAACTTAGTAAGATTTTTTTAGTCTCAAAAAATAAAAAGGGATGGGGCTCAGTGGTAAAGCAACACTGGATTTAATCCCCAGTGTGAAAAATAGAAAGAGAGAAAGAAAGAAATTGGAATCAGACAACTTCAATAGTGAATTCTGATGGAAATGTTATAAATTTTCTTTAAAGGCATAATTGTTCAGTTTCCATTCTTAATACCAGAAATGTAAAATTTCTACAATGAAAGGTAACCTCTTCTCAAATTTCCCCAAGTTTGTATTTAAATTCTTTACTATGACAATAGTAACTATTAAGAAAATAGTAACTAATAAGAAAAGGCTCTGACCATAAAGATGCAGGTTTATCTACACCTGTATTTCCTAATCCCCACATCCACAGTAGGACCTCCAAATTGACCAAGGACATTGCCTCCTTTTTATTTTCTCTCTTATATTTTCAGTCCTTTGGTGCTCTTATTCTTAAGGTCCCATTAATTTTTTTATCTTCCTAGTGAAAATATTTATCAGAAAACACGAGACATGTTTGCCTTTAAAACACATGACCCAAATCCATGAGAAGACATGAGTTCTAGTGCGGCTCCTCTCTCAGAATCCCGACTACTTAGACCACTGCTCACTGCTCACTTGAAGTCATCATGGTTTTGTAGACCTCAAGGAAAAGGTTTAAAACTTAAAACCTGATACTGATATATTCAGACTTAGAGACTTGCCATCACTTTATCATTTAGAGATTTGTCATTATCACTTATCTGGAATTTAATGTTTAAATGTGTGTGGGTTTTTTTGCGGGGGGGTGTTTTAGGGATTGAACTCAGGGGCACTCGACCACTGAGCCACACAGCCAGCCCTATTTTGTATTTTACTTAGAGACAGGGTCTCAGTGAGTTGCTCAAGGCCTCACCATTGATCCTCCTGTCTCAGCCTCCCAAACTGCTGGGATTACAGACATGTGCCACCATGCCGGTTTAAATGTTTTTATTGCTATTCCAACTGTCATTTTTGTCTGCCTATTAAATACGTACAGTATCGGTTAGATTAAAGAGACACTGGGAATACAAAGCCACACTGAGGGAAGATAAAACCAGACTGGACCCTGTATTTTGCTCACTATGCTGATAGGAAGTTTGTAACTGATGTCAAGGTAGGGGAAATAGTGCAAACAAGTCTTTGGAAGATTAAATGAACATTTAAGTTACTCAAGTATTATAAGACACATTTGCAAACTGAGCTCATGGGTAATCTGGGAAATTTGCACAGTTCCAAATAGGTAGTTTCATAAAAACAAATACAAAACAATAGAAGTTGCAATCAAATAACTGTACTCATCACTCAGTGCCATATGTAATGCTATGTTTAGTTCTTATGCATCACTCAAATACAGACATACTACATTCTGCAACCAACAATCACGGCATGTATATTCTTCAGTGGGGAAAATAAATTAGTATAATTGTGCAAAGCACCTATTTTACCTACCGGGCAATTCACTTTGCTTTAAGTAGTCAGAATTCTTTATATACAACTGTTTCATCCCTCCACCCTCCAAATAAAATATAAGCAAAAAATAAGCTAACTCATGATGACAAAAATAAAGGCAGCATTACATGAATATCAAATGGAAAAGAGATAAAGAATGCTTCCAACAGTGTGCTTTTTGCTCATGTGTTCTCTGAATAACATAAATTGTACAGTATATTATAAAGTAGGTATTGAACAGATCTCAGTATGCTATTTCTTATTTTGAAAGGCAATCCATTAAAGTAGTTGCATAATCTAGAGGAAGGTGTAAAAAAAGGGAAGAAAGTATATTTTTGTGATTACAACTTTCTATAACCCACATCCTGAATGGTATGTGTTCTGTGATGTCATTATGAGTGCTCGTGTTCATTTACCATCATTTCAGCAAATAACCCCCACCCCCCAGTACTTCACCATTCACCTGGCAAGACCATCTGGGACATCTTTGTGAAGCTATTATTAATGAATTTCAACCCTCTGACCAGCACATGAAAGCTCATAGGTACTCACCCTGCAAACTGGGCACTGCCAGTGACTACTGCTGTCTCTAAGCCTGAACTCATCAGACAAACACTTGGAATGATACACACGAAAACACAGGTCACATATCAACACCTCTCCAGGCAAATGGCATTCAAAACAATACCAGTCATGATTTTCTGTTTCCCAGTCCTACAAAAAATACAAAATAATTTCGTATGACATTTTGTCAATATCTGCAATGACTAAGAACAAAATTGAAACTGAAGTCCATCAGAAGTTAGGCATTTTAAACAATTTTAGACATTTACTATGTTAAAACAAGAGGGAAAATACCTAGAAATTTACTTCTTTAAAATTTAAATTCTTTCCTAAACAGTATTAATATTCAGAAATACCTTAAGGTGATCTGATAATAAACCAGTCCAAAATGAAGTAAGTCCAAAGCCAATCCCAGATCTAACAGTATCTTTCAGTCTTAAATATAATCTAAGAAATAATTTCTTCAGTAAACTGAGTACCCCCATCCAACTTGTAGCTTAGTGTTTCAAACAAACCTTGTTCAGTTCTGCTATTTAAAAATTATATAATAAATTCCTGGTACACTCTATGAACAGAGAGAAGAGTAACAAATGGTGATGCTCACTATTCTTATCTTCTCATCCATGGTTTTGGATATTTTACTGAAAATAACCATTAATCAGAATATCCACGTTCTGATAGGTTGCCAAATTTTCAGGGTCTGTTGAATTTGGAAAAATAGAATGAAAATGTGAAACTAAAGGTTTAATCACACTGTCCATAAGATTACCATAGTAAAAAAAAAAAATAAATAAGGAAGCAGGCTAATTTCCTGCTGCAGCCTCCTGGCTGTAAGAGAACAGGGCTGCAACACACAGGCGCTCCTCAACTGCGTATCCTCACACAGCCAGGACCACGGCAGTATAGCAAGACGACTATGAGAGGTTCTCCTGCGTTAGGGTCCACACTTTATAAACACCACTCTTAGTTTCTACTATAATTAAGAGTGATGGACCTAATCCTCAACCTTCTTTTATAGACATAATCACCAAATGAGTTAGAGAGAAGCCCACGGCACACCCACGGCCACTTCCAGTGGGGACCCTCACTCCACATGTGGTCCCTCATTCCATGTGTGGTCTCTGCCATCATTTTTCTTTTCATAAATCATTATTTACACTGTTTCCAAAGTGGTGCAGCTTTTTCATTTCCTCAGATGTCAATATTCCCCCAATAAATGGGCTTCTACGTTGCACTCAGGGAACAGTGACTTCTTAAGCAACTAGGTCCAAATGTACTGTTTGACCATATCTGAGTGCTCGTCACTATTCCTTCAAAAGGATGGAGAATCACTAATGTTCCAAAATTTATGTATTCTAGTCCACATCCAGAGCCACAGTAGTAAATCCTGCAGGAATGTAAGCTTTGGTTTGCTTTCCATTAAGAAATTGGAGGTCTTCACTCTAGCTACTTGCTGCACATGTTTATACTTTGCAAACTCACTTTGGAGGAGTAATTCAGTTGGACTATAATCATAAAATTTTGATTTTTACATAAAATTCTGATTGTATATGGCAGAAAAAAACTACCCTGCAAAGTCTGATCCAGTGGCACCATGCAGGCACAACATATGTATGTGGTGCTTGGCAATGAACACTCACTGGTGCATCTGTTTCAGATAGCTCATAGGTACCTTCCATTTTAGCTACTTCAATTTTTGTTTCAAAATCTTCTAAAATAAATTGTTTTGGTAGAGATAAAATACCTGGTTATATTTTTAATTAACAGAACTCTTCCTACATTTAGAACAAAGTATTTCAGAATATTTTCATCATAACTGTTTGGAAACATATTAAAGGATTTTGGAAACTGCCCTCGTCCATCATTTGAATTTTTTACACTAATTCATCTTTATGTGATGGTCAAGATGGTAGTTACTAGGATAACTAAGGGAAGGAAGGGCTCAGCTCTAACCTCTCCATGTCCCCTCCTGCTTCTTCCCACCCTACCCTTCCCCCAGTCACCTAGGAAAGAAAATGAAAATGGATCTGTTTTGATGGGGTACTTAATACTAAGCTTAGTGTTTCATAACAATTATAGAAATGAAAGTATAATTTGCTTGAAGAGTAGAGCCATTTATATATATATATATATATATATATATATATATATATAATGGCACATAACTAATTCTGTTATCTGATACAAAAGAAATTATGGGTGGGGGAAGGCAGTGCTATTCACTCTTTAAATCATGGCAATAACTGTTCAGAATAATCATGCAAAGCTGACTTCAAAAGTTATTAGATTCTGAATCCAGGTCCAAGGTATAAATGCTAGGGGCACATTTATTGCAAGCCAAGTTGCCTGCAGTTGGCCTTTTGATAAACGTAAACCACTTACGTAGTGCTTTTCACTAACTCTTGCTCACATGTGCCAACAGTCTAAGTTTGCATTTTCAATGGATTCCACTAGATGTCACCAGCTACTCTAGACAGCCTGCTTTAATGGCATATGTGAAATGCTACTTCAGAACAAGAAAGCTTTCACAAAGCAAACCTACTAGCACAAAATTGAAAGCTAGAAGCAGTGTAAAGATAGCACAATTTTAACAAGTCTAGCAAGAGTTAACTAAGCAAGCCTAAAGTAAGATAGAAATGTATTACAAAAAAAAAAAAAAGGCAGAATCAAAATAAAACAACATAGCGCAAAATTTAGTTCACCTTGTGTGAGGTTGCTGTCCTGGAGAAAGGCTGTATACTGTAGGCCTTTCAAAATAAAAACAAAATAATCTTGGTCTCTCTACTACAATTTTGCTCAATATCAGGTAATATACAGGGATAAAGAGATTTCACACATAGTCAAACTGTTTATTATTTGCTTATGGTTTATACTGTTTTTCAGATGACATTGACTGATACTCTACCGACATGTAATTACTAGATAAAAGACAGCAGCATGCACACTGAGGAGTCAACAGAAGAAACTTTCCACACTAACATGAGAGCCACAAATGGACAGAGAAAATCACTCTCCAGGAATTCATGTGCCCTGAAACCTATGATATTAAAAAATTATTTAACAAATAAATTCAGTGTTGTCACACATTTGCACAATACCATGAATGTGTGTCTCATCTGAAACCAGTTCACACTGGATGTTTTGGAAACTGGAGTGATGACAGTGAGTGGTGTACCAAGCACCTCAGCACCCTGTGATATGCCACCCTCAGAACCTAGCAGGGAAATGGCCACCATCCAGCAGCACCTACTGCTCTCAAAGTCTCAGTCATCCATACAGCATTTGGTTAAGACTCTGGAGCCAGACTGGTTACATCCAGGCCCTGCCACTCACGGCTGTGTAATCTTGGGCAGAATGCTTAGCTTCTCTGTGTATCATATAGTCCCTAGTTTATAGGGTTTTCATACAGATCAAATGAGATCCTGTGTATATATTCATAGAAGAGTGCCTGGCACGACAGGAGGCTCAGGAACTGTGACCAGTGCTACAGCCTATTTAGTGCACAAAACAGGAACTGACCAGCCACAACATGAACCATGCTCATGACCACATGTGGGTGGGTGCACTCCTTTCCCCAGCACTTTAATATGCACCATCACATCTGATTTTCACAACATTTCTCTAAGTTAAGTAGAACAAGAAATATTATTAACTCCAGTTTAGAGATAAAACTGAAGCCTGGAAAGACAGTTTTTTCCTCACATAGCAAGGGGGGATGTGGAGAAGGGCTCAGTGAGTCTCTGAGCTCCCATCCAGCACTTCAGCAGCCCTGAGGCCGCTCACCCCTCCAGGTGGCTTCCTAGGTCCACCTGATGAGTAGATGAACATTTCAGTACCAAGACGTATGTATGATCTCATATTTAAGTGTAGATATGATGTAAAATTTATTCTATGCAATTCTCTACATTAGTTAAATTCTATTAGCCAATGAAGTACTCATTTGGAGAGCAGAATTGAATGGTTAAATATTTCTAGTAGTTTAAATATGATTTATCTTTAAAATAAAAATCTTATGACATTCCTTAGTGAAATAGAATTCAGACAAAAGAAGAAAAAAAAAAAGAGAAAGAACTCACACACATGCACACAATCCATACAAGTAGAAAAGAGGACACAGGATAGCATGACCCCAAAATGTTCTTCTGAGTAAAATGGAAATTCTTTACCAAAGCAAGAATAATTTCTGAGTATATTATAGTTTGATTTCACATAGACCTTTAGTATATAATTTGTTTCTAATTAATTAATAATCACCAGTGCTTTACTTAATAATTAGTAAATAATTATATTTTTATAACTGATAATGGGAATGGACACTTGGAAAGAATGTATAGCATAGAATATAATAAAAAGAGAATAATATATGTTTCACATTTTAAAAAGTAGTATCCAAAGGCATCACATTTTATACTTAAGGTATTTAAAACACATGACTGAGCCAGGTGTGATGACTCACACCTGTGATCCCAGCTACTCAGGAGGCTAAGGCAGGAAAATGGAAAGTTCAAGGCCAGCCTCCGCAACTTAGCCAGATTCTGTCTCAGAAATAAAAAATAAAAAGGCACAGAAATAAAAATAAAAATGTAACTAAGTGGTAAAGTGCTTGCCTATCATATGTGAGGCCCTGAGTTCAATGCCCAGTACCTCAAAAAAAAAACAAAAAAAAAAACACCCATAAGTTGATGACAAAGATCACTGAAACAAGAAAAAAGCAAAAATCTAAACAGCTTTTTAAAAATTCTTACTTGCCCACTTACGAAATTCTCACCTCACATTTATTTTAAGGAGGGTCTGGAGAGTGAAGCCCGGTTTGATGGTAGGTCTGCCTTGATACTTTTCAAGAACAAATCAAGGAGCTATTTCTTGTCAAGGCTTCATTAAAGCTATTTCTGAAGAATAAGGCCATAAATTCCAATCATATCTCTTATCTAAAAGATGGGAGCTTCTCTAAATTTCAAGAGAAATATACACCAAGACTTGTTTTAGATTGACGGTTTGAGTTGGCAGGAGCAGATGACAGGAAGTGAGCCTGTACCTGCTCCTCTGCCAGGAGTCAGGAACAAGAGAGCATATGCTGTTCATTTCTTTTTAAACCAAATATGTATTTTCACTAATTACACTTTATTAAAAGTATCAAAAAAACTTCAGTAAATGAGAAAAGACAAAAAATACAAAATGGCACCTCTTCATTTCAAAACCCACCCCTGAGACCTGCCCAACAGAGAGGCATGATGCTGCTCTGGGCAGCACTAACATCTCACACTCGCCAAGAAGAGTGGACGGACACAGGTCCAAGCCTGGGAGCATGCTTCGATCATGGCAGCAAGGTGGACAAGGAGAAGGACTTTACTAAAACAAAAGCGTGGTTCCTCAATGAACATGACTGACATGAACTATGAAGGAAATGAGGCCCAGAGTGGTAGGTAGGTACACAGAGGGAGAAGTCATTTTATATAACAGATTTTTAAAACAACACTTTTAATTCATCCTTAACACTGGTGACCAAATTATTTAATGTCAGATTAAAATCACCTGCCAAATAATTGGGTAACTTCATGCTAGGGACCTTGAGCAAAGTTGGAAGTCACCAAATAATGTTAACTGCCTTAGTTTTACAATGCATATTTGATATGCTTGACCTGCAAATGATCCACAGCTCAAGGTTAATTGCTTTCCTATATTAAATACTTTGGTAAGACCTTCCCGTGTTTGGTGAGCACCTTATAGGTTGAGATCAACTCAGAAGAGACTAATTTATATTTATTTAAAAAACGCTAGTAAACACCAAACTTAACTCAGCCCAGAACATGGTAAAATTCCACCCAAGAAATATATTTCTAAAGCTGAAAGAATAAAGGGGATAAAATACGATGAAGAAATATAGCTCAAATGCAGTCATCCAGGTGTATTTCTTTAGAGCAAGCAGATAATGAAGCAATCTATGAGCCTATGAAGACATGGAGCATTTCTTTGAAAATAATAAAAGGAAAAAAGTCTCCATATAACAAAATGTTGAATGGTCAAACAACACAAAGTTCCTTTCATGCTCTGGACTAATGGCCTTTTACTAATATAATTTTGAAAGCTATGAAAGCCACCTTTAAATGAACTATCTGGACCCTCAGAGTGAATGTTAATGACACATCAAAAGTTTGAGATGACCATAAAAATTTTACAGGAGTATTTCTCAGGTTCAGTTAATTTGGCATTTAAAAAACTAGGTGGTACACATACTTTTGCTCATTTAAGGTTAATATTTAAGTAAACCATTTAAAGTTGAAAGAAGCCTCATTTTTAATACTTTTCACTCTATGATCTCATCTGGACATATATAAAATATTACCATGAGGATGCTTATTTCTTGCCTAATTTTGCCACAGTTTCTTCAAATGAATTCCTCTGACATAGGGAACTACAGTGATTGAGATCAGAATCACAAAATGTTTAAACAATTGTTTCAGTCTGGTAGAAGGAATTTCAGTAACATGGGGGCATCTGCCTCTGACCTATAAGAACAGGCTTCCTCAAAGACAGATTATTTATAACTATAGCCCCACATATTATAATTAAGCTTTTATTTTATGCTTCCAGGACTTAAAAAATGAAAATAACAATGTTCAAGATATGCATGATTTTTGATTGCTTCAAGTTTGTAAAAATAAGCATTAAAAAAAGAAAAAGGTGGCAATGGGGGAATAAAAATGTGATACCAACAAACTCTTGAGTTTCAAGCTCCATCAACTATAGCCAGTGGTGGAGAGGAGACAATTCTCTACCTTCACCTTCTCAGCATGAAGGGAGGAGTAATGACAAGCAGCGCCATCTCTGCTGACATGCCTCTCAGGAAATGTCACTTGGGGGACCCACCAAGGGAAACAACCTTCTGCCCCACCTCTGATTTTTAGAGGAAATAGAAGAAAAAGAAGAGGGACATTATTACCTATTTTTAAATGACAGAAATGCCAGAGTAAAGACTATTAAAAAAAAAAAGTGTTCAAAAACAAGTAACACCATACACCCTCCCTTCAAGGCCACAGATATCTACTTGACTACTTCTTTTCTTAATTCTGAGTCAGAACGACAAGATGAACAATAACATGCATATTTCAACTTAGAAACTCACATTGTACAAGGAATCAAAGTGATTCATAGTCCACTCCAGGTGGCGAAATTACAAAGGAGGGGGGCCCATATTCAAATGCTGGCATGCAGAATAGTCCCTGGCCACAGAATATCTTTGTACAAATGACAAAAGGTGACCTTTCCACAAGATGTTCTTGTTGTATACTCATTTTTATTAGAATATTACATTCTAATGTTTTGCTATAGCTCTGTCAAATATCCAAATGTAGTGCATCCATGATGTGAAAGGTGAGTCCTGGGGGTGCCGCTCACAGGTCCAGTCTGCACACGCAGGTCTCACAGTTGACACAGATACACAGAGCTGGCCAGTGCGAGATGCTCCTACTGTGCCCAGGTGATGCAGTTAATAAGTGTGTATACTGCTAGTGTGTCATTAGGGCATGACAACTGCAGCCTGCAGACAGCCCCCAGGTGGGCATGTGGCACACTGGCCAAGATAATGGAACACACTTGTAATGAGTCTCAATGTTTCATAGTTATAGATGCTTAAATGAAGATCAGGGGCTTTGTGAAGGAAAGTCTCAAAGAAATATGTGTGCTTTTCCTATACTATAAATAGGTATTTTCTTGTTTTAAGCATTTTAAATTTTTATTTTGCTTTTAATTGATAATAACTAGACATTTACAGGGTATAATGTGATGTTTTGAAACATATATACATTGTAGAATAATCAAATCAGGTTAACTAACATATCCATTACTTCAAATATTTAGTTCTTTGTGGTGAAAGCATTTAAAGGTTTATCTTCTAGCTATTTCAAAATATATAATATAATATTATATAACTACAGTCACCTTGCTAATCTACTATACCTAATAATTTTTATTCACTCATCAAAAACCTGCTTTGCATATATTAATCTATCTATGCTTTAGGTAGATAATTTTGTTTAATCCTTAATCAAATGAAATAGAGATCAATATGCCCATATTATAGCTGAAGAATCAACAAGGTTTGGAAATTTCTTCAAGATCACATAATTAAGTACCTAAGACAGAATTGAGACACCTGTTTATTTTAATATGTATGACCTTATCTCTTCCTATGTGTATGTGTATGTGTATGTGTGGGTGTGTATACACAAACACATTACATTATCCCTGAACTGTAAATATTTACCTATTTTGTGGTCTAAAGACAATTTTGATATCCTCAGTTGTACTTATATCATACTTGCATATTTAGTATAAAATGTTTGTTAAGAACCAATTGGAATTAAACTCTACACTAGTAGTTTGATATACAAGTAAAATTTCATCTAGGAAAAAGAAAAAGAAAGGATGAGGTAAATATATGCAACAAGAACATGTAAAAATGAACAGAATATAGAACTGAATGCTGTGAACATATAATAGGCTAATTATGTGCTTATTGATTTAAACTGAACAAAGAAACTTCAAGTTGAGGACCAAGAAAGTATATGGAACAGCACAAATCTTATGAAAAAGTCAAGAAAAATAAACTCACATCTATGAAAAAAAAATCTACATAAACCCCCAAGCCAAGATCCTACAAATGAAGCTGGACTTATTGCTGTATGACTCTCAGGAATCAAAAGGTTGCATCCCTGGACCAGTAAGTTTCTGAGTACTTCAGGACAAGATATTCTCCATTATCTGGATATTTAGAGTAGGTGATGAAATGCCAGTTATTGTTTTTGTTATCACTTGGCACCCAAAGTTTCTTGATTAGCAGCATAGCTATATTTTTCTGTAGGGAAATGCAACAGAGAATTTGCTCTGTTATAAATTTATTCTACTTTTCAAGAAACTTCCAGGGCACAAACCAAATGACACCAGTACAAGCAAAGGCTTTTGTCTTCTATGTTTTCTTTTTGAGAAAAACATGAGCTTTCTTTCCTGAGGCTTTGAAGCACTAATTAAGTTGATGAAACCCATGTTAAATCTGGAGCCTTTCCTAAGCCCATGACGTATCACAGTGGCTTCTGGAAGCAGCTTCCCAACTCTCAGACTCGGCAGATTAATGTGTCTGTTGGCTCTTCTTCTCTGTAGAGCCAGGAAAGGAAAGGAATTCAAATTTTCTAGAGAATGTTTCCACAATGAACCGATGTTTAAGATTTTATGTAATTTTTGTGATTTTAGAGAATTCATGATAAAACAATCTATTCTCAAAAACTAACAAAATTCACATCTGTTATATTTGAAATCTATCATTTAAATGATAGTCCTTCATAAAAATTAATTAATTGATTAGAAATGTCTTTCAGTAGAACACAAAATATTGCACATGAAACCAATCTTCACATGAGAAAAATATATATCTCTGCACCTATCTGTGCCTCTCAGTATAAAGTTGCAGACTAAAAAGAAATAGTAATATGCCATGGCTTAAAAGGAGTCAAAATTAAAACTAGCTAAAAGTATAAAGAGAATTAATTTTCAGTCTTTCCTGCTTGACTTCTGTTCCCATGCACAAATCCTGCAGTAGTCAGTTAATGAAGTCAGTGGCCAGGCGACTCTAACCTTTGGAAACCTTTGTATTTTACAACAAAACTCCTACTAATGTGTGGCTATAGGGCCTGATGCCATCCAAACTGAAGGGAAAGTGCTTCCCTAAGAAGACAACTGGTCACGTTCACTCTGTCTAGACAGCATCAATATTATCCTGCATTAAAACATTTTTTTACTAATATTTACCAAAGAAAACACATAGGGGTGCCATTAACTGGGTGTACACTAAAAGGGTTGTTCTTCTCTTCAGATTAGGGTAATATAGACAGAAGAAGCAGGCTGTTTGTAAAAGTGCATTCTCCTAGAGAGTAAGTATCTCTTCTATTAACATAGAGCCTTAATGTTGATAAAAGTGTTAAAATGAAAACTGCTGAATTTCTGAAAATGAATTTCTATAGATCATATCTAACTAATGTACAAAAACTAAAAGTCTGCAACTCTAAATTTATCAAATAAAATATACTTACAATCTCATCTCCTGGTAACCAATATCCTTCTTGTTCAATGCCAGCTTTTGAACCTTTGCAGCCCACTGTGAGAGTCTCCACAATAAGACCATCTTTCACAGCTAAGCTCAGCTGGCGGGTGGTCTCTTTTGGATGCATACCGTGAACTCGAGACATATACCTGAACACAGAGGAAAAGCAAATTGAGCAATCCCTTGGTACTCAAAACTAAAAATGAGTAAAAATAAGGAAATAAGGGTGATCTGTTTCTCTTCTCTTATGACTTGTATTTATTAGAGTCCGAAAGGAAGGAAGGAAGGAAGGAAGGAAGGAAGGGAGGGAGGGAGGGAAGGAAAGAAGGAAGGAAGGAAGGAAGGAAGGAGAAAAAGAGAGACCCAAATACGCAACACTGTCAATTATCATGGTATTTTAAACCTAAATTCCTTTCTGTTTGTTTAGAGGAATACTTCGTCAACAGTCCTAAACTAGCAACTATAAATCACTGACTAGACTTCAGGAAAATGGCCCATTTAGCTCTAGCCTCTGCAGCAACTACTACTGACCCCTACAATGTGTATTCTAAAGCTAGAATCACATAAGGCTAGAAGTATAAAAGCATTCTATAATACTTTTGCTCAAAACTCAGAAAATAACAATAGAGAAAATGAGGAATTACAAAAGTGGTTGTGGATATATGTGCTTCTCAGCTGGGCACTGTGGCACAAGCCTGTAATCCCAGCAGCTCAGGAGGCTGAAGCAGGAGGGTTGCGAGTTCAAAGCCAGCCTCAGCAAAAGCAAAGTGCTAAGCAACTCAATGAAACCTTGTCTCTAAAATAGGCCTGGGGATACAGCTCAGTGGTCAAGTGCCCGAGTTCAATCCCAGTACCAAAAAAAAAAAAAAAGAAAGAAAAAAGAAAAGAAAAAGCTTCTGAACCAAATAAATACATACTGGACTGAATCACTGAAGCACACAGGCATTCCCTGATTTACAGATTTATGGTAATTTTTAAAATAGAATTTCAAACATACCCTAGACCACATAAAATAGTAGAGTTTCCCTATATTCACCACCACTTAATTTTGCTAACATTTAACTTATTTGCTTTATACCAGAACAGTATTTATACCTAACTATATAGGGTTTTTTGGTTTGTTTTGATTTGATTTTTTGGTGTGGGAATGGCAATCAAATGCAGGGCCTTGTACATGCTAGGCAAGCACTCTACCACTGAGTAAATCTCCAACCCTATTTATTTAGTTTTGTTTTAAGTTTTTTATCTTGTTTCTTAAAGTTACAAAGTATTATATATACACTTGAATTTTTGCCATTTTCTATTCCTCCACAAACAAACCTCACTGACTTTTTTTTACAATAAATGACTGGACTTCAAAGAACCCTTTGCATATTCAGATAAAAACACATATTATGAGACAAATCAGACTGGCCTTGGACTTCTCTAGGGAAGCATTCCAGGCTGGAAGACAGGGGAGTGATGCCTCCCAGGTCCTCAAGGAAATAAGATAGGACATGAGAGTTTATATCTAATTAGCCTGTCATTCAAGTATCAAAGCAATGATAATGCATTTTGAAAATGCATTGAAGTACCTTCTAAATTCAGAGGATGAATTTTAACAACAGCAAACAAAAAAACCAAACCAGAAAATCCCAGCAAAAGAATTAACGAAGAGTATTTGATTTTTAGAACATGGGAGGTAACTCTTTTCTGTTTAGGAGACAGCTCACTTTTTAAAACTGCCTATATTTTCTGTCAATCCAGTTAAATGAAGAACTAAGAGTAAAAGAAACATAGGGATTGTGGTTAGAGAGCAGAAGAGAACACTGAACACTGAGCTTGATGGTGGAGGCTCTCAGGTGGTGACAGCACAGGAGACCACAGGGAAGGAGTCTGGGCTTACATGTATTTCACCTTTCCTGACCAATAGTCTTCAGATTTTAAAAATATTTTAGGAACAAAGTACACTATTAATTTATGTATTTATTTTGATTTATTTTTGTTTTTGGTAGTTGTAGATAGACAGCATGCCTTTATTATTTACTTTTATGCAGTGCTAAGGATCGAACCCAGTGCCTTATGCCTGAGAAGCAAGCGCTTTGCCACTGAGCTACAGCCCCAGCCCCTGAAGTACACTATTTAGATTAGTAAAAGTAACCCTTGGAACACAAATACTTCTACATTATCTGAAGAAACTCATACAAAATACATCATGTTGAGAAACAGGAAAGCAACAAAAGAACAGAAAGCACTGTTAAATGTGAGGGGAGCTCCAAACCACTTTTGCCTTTTCAAAAAAAACCAAAGTGTCTAAAAGCCACAATTTAAAAGAATGAAGATAACTCAGACTGAAAACAAATGAGCAAAGGCAGATAATAACAATGTGATCCAAATGAAGCAGGGATCCAGGCTGCAACGTGTGGGATCTGAAATCTAGGGCAAAAAAACTTCTTCTTTTTTTTTTTTTTTAAATATTCTAACTTGTATATGACAGCAAAATACATTATAATTCATATTACACATATAGTGCACAATTTTTCATATCCCTGGTCTTTGTGTCTTCATACATGTTCTTAGGGTAATGATGACCATCACATTCCACTGTCTTTCCTACCCTCATTTCCCATTTTTAATAAAGATAAACAGGGTGTAGATAGTTATAATGCAAAAACTGTAAGAAGTAAAGAAAATAACTGACAGAAATAGAGAATTATGAGACTTTAATTCACTTCTCTCAGTTCATTCTCACACACACGCACAGGCAAAAATTACACATGGGTACAGAACACCTAACTAAAACAGACCCAGTTAATTTATTCTAAAATTAAAAAAAAAAACCAAAAACCAAAAAAAAAAAAAAAACCACCTTCAATAGGTACAAGGAACCGCATAAAAACTGACCACAAAGATGACCTTACAGACTCCAAAAATGATACAGACCTATGTTATGGTGAAATGAAAACAGATGTTAAAACCAAAACTGGGGAATTCTCATAAACAACCATTGAGCCAAAAAAAGTTACCTAAAAATTGCAAAAGACTGAAAAAAATAACTAAAAGGCTAAAGTGGAGCTAGATAAAGAACAAAAAAATCACAGAACTAACAAACATAAAGCTGGGAATTCCTTCTTTGGGAAACGTAAAAGAGCATCACCAACTAATACCATCAGCATCGAAGGTTCGCAGTGCAAACACCTACACCAAGAAATGGCTACAGGGACACAGGCCTAAGTGATGACTCTGTGCGATTCTATGCAAAAATAGAAGATGAAACTATGGTTTTCTAAGAAGATTTAAGTGACTAAAACTTAACCAACAGTCTTTAAAAAGGCCAATTTCCAGAGAAATAAACGAGAGATTGGCACAGAGCTTTCCTAGGAACACACCAGTGTTCACTCATGAGGTACTTCTGTCAAACTTCCAGGGATAACGCCAATATGACTCCAACTCTCCCAGTGCACGACAACGAAGGAAAGCAAGGACTCCAGCATAGGGTGTTAACAAACCCAGTGTCCCACAGGAATACTGATGTAAAAATTCCCAGATCAAATATTCGAATATACAGTCTAATGTCAAATATATTAATAAATGTTAATACATTCAAATTCAAAAGACTATACCATAGCCAAGTGTGAAATTCTAGGAATTCAGGGATGATTTAATAGTAAGAAATCTAATGATATAATTCACCTCATTAATAGATCAAAAATGAAAAATCATAAAAATTCATACATATGAAAAAGTGATTTAATAAAATTCAACACCCAGTCTCTAAAAAACACAGGAGTAAATCTTCCCTTATATTATCAGGATTATTTCAAAAATATCTACTGCTATCACCTCAACACTTTGCAATAGTAATAACCAACATAACTGAAATAGGTAAATCATATATTTAGAAAACCTTACAAATCAGTTCATATGCTATTTTTATTTTTTTTTAAGATTATTTTCACAGTATGGTCAATTTTTTTTTTTTTAAGAGAGAGAGAGAGAGAATTTCAATATTTATTTTTCAGTTTTTGGCGGACACAACATATTTATTTGTATGTGGTGCTGAGGATTGAACCCGGTCCGCCAGGCGAGCGCGCTACCACTTGAGCCACATCCCCAGCCCCATATGCTATTTGTAAATACATTCTTTTTGGGTACAAATTAAGATAGTAAAATTAAAAGTATTTATATATCAAGACTAGTGAAGAGATTTATTTATTTATTTTGGTGCTATGGGTTGACCCAGTCCTCATGTATGCTAAGCACTGAGCTTTACCCAGTCTCAAGGTAAAAGATTTTTTTAAAAGACTAACAGACTTTGCCAGGCTCAGTGGCACATGCCTATAATCCCAGTGGCTGTGGAGGCTGAGGCAGGAGGATTGTAAGTTCAAAGCCAGTGTCACCAAAAGTGAGATGCTAAGCAACTCAGTGAGACTCTGTCTCTAAATAAAATAGAAAATAGGGCCGGGGATGTGGCTCAGTTGTCAAGTGACTCCTGAGTTGAATCCCTGGAACCAAAACAAACAAAAAAACTACTGGATTTTAATTACTTAAAACAGCAATAAAAAAATGAAATTATTAGTAGTAAATAGAAGACGTGACAAAATCTATATGAATGAAATTCTGAAATATCACTGATAAAAAGAAAAGGAACGGCTGGGGTTGTGGCACAGAGGTAGAGTGCTCTCCTACCATGCATGAGGCACTGGGTTCGATCCTTAGCACCACATAAAAATAAAGATATTGTGTCAACCTATAACTAAGAAATGAATATTTTAAAAAAGGTGAAAAGAAAAGGAATAAGTGGGAATTTTATTATGATAAAGGTGGCAGAAAGTTTACAATGCGTGGTATTGGGACAACAGGCTACCCAACTTGGGGGATGAAAGATGGAGCCCTACCTCAGTCTGCACCCATACATACATTCTGGATAGATCAGATTTAAATATCAAAAACAAAACCAAATATTAGAAGGAAAACAGTGGAGACTGTTATAACAAGAGTAAAAAATTCACATAAAATCAGCCATTAGGGAAAAAAACAATAACCAAAGTTAAAATGCAAATAACAAGCTAAGAAATATATTTATAATAATATCATAAAAGACCTGTCTTAAGTCCTATACATTCCTGATATATAAAGAACTTACACGGATGCATTATCCCTATCTGAA